TCGAAATATACATATATCGTTATACATGTTTGATTTCACAAATTGCGAAGTAACATCCGGATTGTTATGCTTCTTTTTGATATTTTCTAGGTATCCGATTCCTTAGGAGTGGGATTCAAAAGCGGTAAGCTCACCGTGTCACTAAAAATCAATTTCAAAGAAGATCTGGAGATAACCATTCCGAAAGTTCGAATATTGGCCGGCCAACAGGTACTTATTCATGCATACAACAACACCTATGAGAGACTTCTTTAATATGGGAGATGATACGTATCTACTCTCCTGGAGTAATAGATGATCTACAGTAATAATTCGTTCAGTAGGTTTTAATTCACGCATGCTACAACACTTAGGAAAGACTTCTTTAGTATATGAGATCATATGTATCTACCCTTCTGGAGTTATAAGTGATCAAAAATAGTAATTCTGTCATTAAGTACTATTTCATGCCTGCTACAACATTTAGGAGAGTTTTCTTTAGCATGTGAGATCGTACGTATATGCCATTGTCTTAGTACTGTCTGTGTGGTCTATACATGCTATGATAGTCCACAGTACTGAATCGTACACACCCAATTGGCTATTGTCTTAGTACTGTCTGTAGTCTACGCATGCTATGACAGTTCCGAACAGATTGGCGGTGCATATATATACCCATTTAAGACACATTGCTCTACACGCACAAGTATAAGTAGTGAATACTACAGTAGCCTAGGTATGCGTATGTGATGTATTTTAAGTGTAAGTTGTGAATACTACAGTAACTTGGGTATGTGTATGTGATGTATTATAGGTATAAGTAGAGAATACTAAAGTAACTTAGGTATGTGTATGTGATGTATTTTAGGTATAAGTGGTAATGGTACAATATCCTAGGTATGTGCATCTGCTGTATTTTAGGTATAAGTGGTAATGGTACAATATCCTAGGTATGTGTATGTGCTGTATTTTAAGTGTAAGTTGTGAATACTACAGTAACCTAGGTATGTGTATAGGATGCATTCTAAGTGTAAGTAGTGAATGATACAATAACCTAAAGTATGTGCAAATGTGATGTATTTACTATTTTTAGCCCATCAAAGGACAACGGGTTAAGTGCCGGGTCCGAATACCTGCTGGGTCATTCTTTTTTCAATATATAATACAAAAAAAATACTGGAGAATGAGAGAATTGAACTCCCGACTTCGTGCATGCTAAGCACGCACTCTACCAACTGAGTTAATTCCCAATTGGAATCATCCATGTATAATAGTACATAATTCCTGATATGAACTCACCTCGGACGTGTGAATTAGTTGACGTACGAATACGTATACAAATATACGTGTATGTGCAAATGAATATACAAATATTTGGGACAAATGTGTTTGTGTATATGTATGTAGAGAACGAATATTTATACGTGCATATGAATATAAATAGAATACAAATATGTGACATATGTTTTTATTGCACGATTATGAATATTTGCATATGTATATAAGTTGGATGTACATACGTACGTATATACGAATGTGTGTATATATGCTTAAGCATTTGGTTTCATGCTTGTTTTTGTGCGGAGTGCCATATCATTGGTTAGTGGTTGTATCGGGCGAGTCCTGAGATAATATTACATACGAATATATGATCATGTGTACATATGCGACTACATCGGACGGAGTTCAAGATAACATGTAATATGACATTACAGCTTACCCTGAGCAGTTCTGGAGCTATCGTTCGCTTATGCACACACGTATACGGCCATACCCTTAGCTATAAATAATACAGTGTATTGTATCTACCCCACCTGCAGAAATTGGCAGGTACTTTGGTAGGCGAGATTGCGGAAGACGAAAAGGATAAAATGTGGCATGAGCGAGGCGAAATAGACTTCGGTGACTTCGAGTTCCATCTCTTTCCACGTAAGAAACACACAGTCCTATATTGTGTTTTATGCAGAGTATGCTTGCACGTAGAAAGATATTTATATACGTAGGTGTTGTGTGAATTGTCACGTGGAGAAATACGATTGTTTAACTCTGGGTACGGGTTCACGTTGACTAATACAACACGTATACAATATGTACCTATATAAATTTACACACACTCACATTTACACACATCTATATATATTTGTATTTATATATATATATATATATATATATGTCTGTGTCTGTGTCTGTGTCTGTGGCTGTGGCTGTGTCCGTGTCTGTGTCTGTGTCTGTGTGTGTATGTCACGCTTTATATATCCAGACAAGACCTACACATAAGCTCACATAAGAAGCAGACAGAATATTTAGTTCCTCTCAATTATTAATATCAATTACACTATATATATTAACCAATATGTATTATCACCCGTATTCCGTTTACTTCTTTGGTGATGTGGTCAGATATGTACCCCAAAGTAATTGACATTGACGTCGTTGAGGCGATGATGGCCAATTCCATGTCTCGCAAAGTGGTCGGCTTATTCAACAACGACAAAAGTGAGAAGAAATTCCCCGACCCTCTCACCATCCAATTACCCGCAGATAAGGACATAGAGTATGTGCACACATGAGTGTGCGATGGACTGTCAGAAATACCTACACGCGACAGATATACCTATACTTGTGTTTGTGTGTGTGCTGTGATAGTATGTACACGCATGAGTGTGTTATTTACTGTCAGATATACCTACACTTGTGTTTGTGTGGGTGTTATGATCGTGTGTGTACGTACAACTGCCGAATGTATTGCAGTGGTATGTGTACACACGAGTGTTGGTTTAGAATGTGTCCTATGTCACCACGTAGTCGTGTCTGTTGTGTACTTGAACGCGTTAAGCATAAGCGTCCGCATGTCTGGCTCACATTTGCAATCGGGTGTGTGAAGTGAGATTGACTACCACATCTGTGGTTTTAGGGTTTAGAGTTTAGGGTTCCAGGCCAGCCTTAAAACCCTTATTGTCACGCCAAGGTGTCAATATATTCAGCAGCCCATTCTGAGGGAAGAGTGCCGAAGTCGTGTTGTTTACATACCTGTGGGTCACTCATATAATGAGAGGAGGTTCAGCCGTTGGAGACGATATGTTGCTTAGATACCTGTGGGTGGGGTAGATACGCGTGAGTGTACTATATGTACCGGTCCGGGTCAGTGGCACTCATACTATGCTTTCATGTATTATATTAATACAGAAGATGCTCAAAAGTAAGATTAATATGGTACTTCAAGTTCTTTCTGTTATAGTTCCATTATGCCAGCACTCGATTGAGTCTGCAACTAACGTATGCTATGCATTGGTAACCTGCACCGTCCTATAGATGTGTGTTTTAGTACACCATTACGTTGCATGGTTCAATTGAGTCTACAAGTAACATTTACTAATGCGTTAGTTGTAGTACCGTCACGCACTAACCTACAGCTTCCTATACACGTGCAATGGAACACTCCATTGCGTTACACGGTTCAACTGAGTCTTAACGTATTCGCATACGATCACAGTTGCGACCGCGTTTGTTTTGGCAACAGGACTATTGTGTGGCACAGCGAAATACGAATGAGTACTGGTATGTTTTACCGCACACTCAACTTGAAAAGTACACACATAACCTCGGTCTCATCACAGAGCTCGTCTTATTTACGTACTCAATCCTACGTAAACTAGATCAGGCACAATCGTCGAGAAAGACTTCACGTGCGACGTTTTTGGTTTGGTGAAAATGAAAGCGGTGTATGCGATTACTGACCCCAATGCAGGCAACAACGATGATTTGACCGAATTTTTCAGGTGCGTAGGTATGAGCATATACGCTCGTATATACATATACATTCACATATACTTTGATCTTAACTATATCACTAAAATGTATCTACGTATGCATGTATGAATTGAATGTGTACGTTATATAACGATACTATATATATATATATATATATATGTGTGTGTGTGTGTGTGTGTGTGTAGTTGTATNTATATATATAGT